CAAACAGAAGAAAGAATCTCAGAGATTGAAGACAGCTCCTTCCAAATGAATAAGTCAGTCACAGAAACAGAGCAGAAAATAAAGAAAAAAGAAACAAGCTTACAAGAATTGTGGGATTATGTGAAAAAACCAAACTTGCGTTTGATCGGTGTGCCAGAAAATGAAGAGGAAGCCACACAAGAGCTGGATAACCTATTTGAAGATTTAATAGAGGAGAATTTCCCAGGCCTTGCTAAAAATCTAGATATACAGATACAAGAAGCGCAGCGGACCCCAGGGAGATTCAATGCAAATAGAAAGACACCACGTCATGCAGTAATCAGACTGACCAAGATAGCCACTAAAGAGACCCTACTATGAGCTGTCAGGCGAAAGAAGCAAGTAACATACAAAGGGAAGCCTATCAGAATAACTTCAGACTTCTCAACTGAAACCCTAGAAGCAAGGAGAGCCTGGGGCCCCATTCTCACTCTTCTGAAACAGAATAATGCCCAGCCTAGAGTCTTGTACCCGGCAAAATTAAGTTTTATATATAAAGGAGAAATTAAGACATTCTTAGATAAACAAAGTCTGTGGGAATTCACCAGGACAAGAACAGCTCTCCAAGAAGTACTCAAAGCTGAACTACACAAGGACCAGCACAATAAACACCCACGGATGTAAAACCACTCAAAAGCTAAAGATCAAAGGCTAGAATCCACAATGGCTCAAGAGAGAAAACAAAGCAACAAAAAGCAACTCAACAGTATGATGAACAATTTACCCCATATATCAGTTCTTTCAATAAATGTGAATGGCTTGAACTCACCTCTCAAGAGACATAGGCTGGCCGAATGCATAAAAAAATACAAGCCAAGTATCTGCTGTCTTCAGGAAACACATCTAACCTGCAAGGATGCATTTAGACTCAAGGTGAAGGGGTGGAAATCAATATTTCAAGCAAATGGAAGCCAAAAGAAGGCTGGTGTAGCAGTTTTGATCTCAGACAAATTAGTTTTTAAATCAACAAAAGTAATGAAAGAAAAGGGGGCCACTATATAATGGTGAAGGGCACAGTTCAACAAGAAGACTTAACAATTCTAAATATGTACGCGCCCAACCTAGGTGCACCCAGATTCATAAAGCAAACTTTACTTAACCTAAATAATTTGATGAACAGCA